GCACAACCCAGAAATACTCAGGAGATGTAGAGGTCTTTTATACTCATTGACCTTTTCAGAAAAGATCACAAACAGCTACCATTTAAAGAAAATTGATAAAAGTGCTCAATCTGATTACTTCAGCTTTTTATTGTACAATTATCTAAAAAAAACTGATCAGTTATGACTTTACACTATATGTCTCCTCTAACAAAACTTTCACCTTAACTATTGTGGAACCACTCAATTTTAAAGCAACATTCACTTCCCAGAATTAATACTTTGCTTTCTGGCACCATCAGCTCCCTCGGGTCACCAGTTAGCCGTCTGCAGCTGGTTTCCCTGCAGGGGGCAAGTGGGCCACTTCTGCTGCTCCAGTCTGGTATTGGAGGCAATAAAAAGCGAAGCTGGTGTTAATCCAGAGAGTAGCTGCCGACTTTCTCAGACATTGCTCCCTGTTGCAGGCCTATTGCTCATATCCTCCAGGGATGTGCCGTCCTTTCTACTACTTCCACCCCTTTCTGCTGCTATGGATCCTTTACTTTGACACTCCCTCCCTCTCTCACCCTCTGCTTTCTCTCCTCCCATTTCTTCTCCTCCCAACTTTGCCCATGTTGCACCTCTGTGCCCTCACCCCACCCTGCCTCTCTTTAGCCTCAATTCCTCAGCTGAAATAATTTCTGCAGCTCAACTGCTCCTCTTAGTGTCTTAACAGGAACATCGCAGGTAGTGTTCAAAATAAATCCTTTATTGCTAGCTCTTTATGTTCATATTTGATGATTGAATCCATCTTACTTTAAAAAGTTACTAATAAAATTTAGGTTTGTGAATTTTGAGCCTAAAGTAGATAAAAAGGAAGCAGAAATTGTTAAAGAAAGTAGCAGTAGATGGCCATTTATTTTCCTTATTATAATGTAGGATTACTTAAAGTGTATTTTTGGACGTTGTCTCCTTTATAATTTCTCTTCAGTCTAGATATATTTCACAGGGATTTAATGTAATTCAAAAACACCAAGCGGTTCATAACAGGTTCTGAAGGAAAATGGTTTAAAATTTTTCTTTTTACAAATAAAACCTGAAAAGTGTAACCTGCTTTTGTAATCAGTTCCGCTGAGTGATGATGCTGCCACCATGTTTCACTGTGAGGCTAGTTTGGTCCAGGTAGAGAAGGCATGCCAAAACTTGGTTCTCGAAGGCCGCTGTCCTGCAGGTTTCTGAGGTTTCCCTGCTTCAGCACAGCTGATCTCCGTTTATAACTTTTTAACAGGCATTTGCTGAACTGCGATAATCATAATCAGCTGAGCTGAAGCTGAGAAACCTCTAAACCCTGTAGGACAGAGGCCCTAAACGACCGACTTATGCCTGAGGTACATTTAACATGGACCTTCAGGTGTAGGACAAAAAGTGGTGGTGTGTCTTATCTGGCCAGAATGTGTTATTTCATGTGATACTTGTGTCCCACGCAAGACAGGTGTCTCTACAATTCCTTTAAAGTTATCATAAACCACTTGATTGCTTTCCTGATGAATGCACTTTTTGCCTGGCCTGCCAGTTTGGGTCGACAATCATGATTTCGAAAGTTTGAAGTTAATTCAAACTCATCAAATAATGAATAAGCTCAAGAAGATATTAAATGTTTTCAGTAGATTATATTTAGGGTAGAGTGAAGGAGATTGAGTATCGCATGCCATGTATTTGCAATGCTTTTCAGATGATGAAATTTCCTTCCAATCAACAATAATGTTTTGCTCTGAGCTCATATATGATTATTGTAAAATGCGCAAAGATTTGTGGTAAACCAACAGTTTTACATGCACCAATTATCTGCCTGATAATAATTATCCTTTTCACATGTAATTTAAATAATGTCCTTAGCTCTAAATAAAGGAATAAATGCCCTAAAATATCAGATCCAGGTAGTGAACATGTAACTCTAATAAAGCAATCATCCACATTTCAGAGAGCATGGGTCAAATAGATGCTTTTCAAAATGAATGTGTTTTAAATAACAGACTGCTATGAAATTCAACAGTTATTAGTAAATTATAAATTATCAGTAAATCCAAACATTTTCTACAGAATCCTTCTGAGTTATTTCTGAAAGTTTGGAACAAACTCAGGTTATCATTAATCTTTTCCCAGATGGAATTGGTGCCATCATGGAAGCTATTTCCTTTTCCCAAACATTCTGCGACGGGAATGCATCAACACAAGAAAATAAGCTCATCACCAACATTACTCTTAATGTGTTTAAACCTGTTTCAGTGTAACGGAAGACATAGACTGGTGACACCACAATACACTGTTTATTATTTTATGTTTTACTAATGTAATAGGCCTATATAAACCCAAAACAGTGTTAACAAGTTAGTAGAAAAACATTTAGGGCAGACTATTTTTTTGGTTTCCAACAACACAACAAAAGAGGATAAAATATGGCCATTTGTAAAGTGCTGTTTGTTCCTTTCTGAGCAAAACACCCCAGAGGAGCTCATTACCAACGGCGCTTTATGAAGGTTTGATCAGTTTCTCTAGATTTTAGGGGCCTCCCATTCAAGTCCTCCTTTGGCCAATGGAGGTAGCCTTTATAGAGAAGCACTGAGTCGGATGAAAGAGCCGCTCTGCAGGTTCACCACCCACCGACCCGCCTGCAGTTTGTCTTATAGACCCGCTTATGAATTGAAGAGCTCGCTTCAACACACATTCTTTTTTTTTCCTCACCGTCTGTCTGTGAATGTGCAGGGTAATATGTCCCTATTATTAACTGTGTGTGTATGAATGTGTGTGTCTTTTTATTTCAAACTCCAAAGAAGGAAAGGATTAGGAGATTTTTGAGGCACTCGCCCTTTTACTCAAACAAATTATTCACTTCAGCTAATAAAAGGAATCTGACCCACGTGAACTTTCTACAAAGGCTGGGTGAAGTTCAGCAATAAGATTCTACCCCCATGGATGGACGGATGGATGGATGATTGATCTAATTAATCACTGATTATGCTGCATTATTTATTCCATTTGGGATCAATACACTATTTTTGATCAGCGACTGCATTTCAAGCACCTTAGGCCACCCTCTATTATCTTAAGTGCCTGAAAAAATCTTCCTGCACCTTGAACATTTTTTACATGTTGTTGTGCTACAGCCGTTAACTGAAAAGTATTTCTTCTGGATTTTATGCAATCAATCCAATGAAAAGATGTGCATAATTATAAAGTGTGAAATTAACCACTCAACATGGCCCTGCATCAGATTAAAGGGACCTAAATACATATGTGTTCCCAACACTTTTCCGATTGTATTTCTAATTAAAAATACTAAGGTGTTAGTTTTGAACTCATGTATATATTTCCTTTGATGTTAAAACTATATTATGTTAAAGAGAAAATGTGCCTTTATTAAAGCTCTGCAAAATATTACTGTTAAAATTATTATTCTGCACTCCAGTAAATGAGTCATCATGAGTATTCAAGTGTCTGGCATTCATTTGTGTTCTGTGATCTTTGCTCTGAAACGTTTTAGATGTCACCACACTGGGGGAAAAAAACGATCTTGAAATAAGTAAAATTTTCTTAAATCAAGTGTATTTACACTTAAAGGGGAACACCGTTTTTTTTACATTGGCCCCTTGATTTTACGTTATTACATCATGTTCTACTCACCCATATGAGTTTTGAGTCATTTGGAACGGTTCTGAAGATATTCCGTTAGGTTATATCCAAGTAACTTCTTCGTATGGGCAACGAGTTGAAAGCACAAACTGAACTGTTCATAATTTATTCTTTATGGTACGCCAGCATTCATAACATGTAGGCGAATCACTGTCCCCCAGACATCCACGGTTATATTTTTTATATTTATATATTTTAAAAACAAACCGGTGCGTGTATGACGTCATCCGTGCGCGCCGGCTACTGTTCATTCTTCCTGTCCGCTGAACTGCTGCTAGTTTTACTCACATGCCTGGAAGATGTCTAATGCTGCTACCACAGATGATCTCACTCTCGAATTGGAATTGAACGATTCAGATTAGCTAGCCGAACGAATATAAGGGGTACAGCGTATCCGACTGTGGCCCGGGCTGCCTGTCACATCTCCAGTCTGGTGCGGGGATGACATCATACACAGCCTGCTTTGTTTTTAAAAAAAATAACCACAGATGTCTGGGGAACAGTGATTCACCTACATGTTGTGAATGCTGGCGTACCATAAATAATAAATTATAAACAGTTTAGTTTGTGCCTTCAAGTCGTTGCCCAAAGGAAGACGTTATTTGGATATAACAAAACCGAATATCTTCAGAACAGCTCCAACTGACACAAAACTCATATGGGTGAGTAAAACATGATGTATTAACATAAAATCAAGGGCCCAATATAAAAAAAAAATGCTGTTCCCCTTTAATTTGAGCAGGTAAATGAGATGGTTTTCCAATGGAATGAGTATTTTTACTCTTATAATAAGATAATTAGATAAGATGCACTTGAAATAAGACAATGCAATGGTGTGTTCTTATTTTAAGTGTAAATTGTCTTGTTCCATTGGCAAAATGTCTCTTTTACCTCGTCAATCCAAGAACAAATGCACTTATTTTAAGAAAAAATAACCCATCTAGATTTTGATTTTTTCCAGTGCATTAACTATGAAAAGGAGCAAGGAGACATCTGAGTATGCTACCACTGTCTGGAGGAACATTACAATAGCTGCTAATGAGGATAAACTAATATGACAAACATTTTACATTTGTTAATATCTGAAATACATTTTCCCTTTCAATTATTTGTTCTGGAAAATATCCTGATTATTCACATTTTTTCTATGTATGGGGACCAAAATTGGGTAATATGGACTCTGTAGTAGACATTTGATAGATGTGATGCCTAATGTGAGGTGAGGGCTTCTTACCAGTTGTTCATCTGATCTCCTCACGTGGTGACAGGAGGGGGGAGGCGGTTCCGACCTGAAATCTGGGTGCGAAAAAGAGGAGGAGTGTAAACTTAAACAAGAAATAGGAGAGATGGTTTTAAAGCAGCTGCAGCGGGACAAGAATTAGTCACTCCGCTGCTTTAGTCCAGGTTTCGATATCATTGTCAATAAGTATATTTATATTTCATTGTCTAAACGAGACAACAGAAATCTACATGTCACTATGTGGCTTGTTTCATCTGTCCGCGAAGAAGAGAAGCTTTACGCAAAACTGGAATAATCTGTGAACCGTTTTACGCACAATGTTTTGATCTGCGTAAAAGGGAGGAAGGTGGATTTCTGGATGTTTTGTTTTCCTCAGTGTGACTTCAGACTGGAATCCGATTGCTTGACACCCTGGGATACACTTTTATTGAAAATAAGGATAATTTAATGCAGGAGGAGTTTGGTTATAAAAGGAAAACTTTGTTCATATCTAAGTTTGCTGAGCTGGATCCGGACCTGCAGAGTTTCCATTTAGCTCCCCTCTTTGGAAACTAATCAGGACGCGTGGTGAATCCTTTCGCCCATGTCTCAGCAGAGCACTTTGCCCCGCACTGGCTGCTCCGCGGTGCCGCGGCGGGCAATTATGGACAACAGCCCCGTCCTGAGGAGACGAACCGGAGCCGCCCCACATCTGCTCCAGTTGGCGGTCCTCCTCGCCTGCAGCTCCCAGCTTCGGATGGTGGAGGCAAACTCATGGTGGTGAGCGACTGATCTCTGACATATAGTTTGAAAAATGTTTTAAACGCCATTTAACCATTGTTTGTTTTACGCATACATTGCGCATCATCACAACATGTTCCAAATCCATTTGTTTTCCAGATCCATTTGTTTTTGTTCTTTAAGGTTTTTTCCCCCTCTTGGTGTTGGGTGCTGGCTTTGATGGGACAAATGTGAAGGCTCTGTCACAATATTTATCCTGGCTGTCCCCCAAATGGCAAAGCCCGTGCCCTCAACACGCTAAATTATCAACACTTGCTCCTGTCCTGCACAGCATTGGATTGGATGGACGTTTGTGTCTCTGTGATGCAGAACATCACTGACATGCATGAGCTGCTGAATCTGGAAACAATATGAAAGCTTGGTAGTTTGTTTTATTTACTGAGGGGCCAAGAGCTTTTTTTTCTGGGGAGGATCTAAGGAGCCATAAAGATAGAGGCGGTAGAGATGTTCTCCACAGGAGTCTATTTATTTTTGTTTTATAGCCCACTTGTCCCTATAAAACCAGTGTCTGACTTCTGTGCTCTGTTGCACAGATAGATTGACTGGATTCCCTATTTAATCAGATTTAAATGTATCCTCTGCATCTCTCAGGTCTCTAGGTCTGACCCCAATCCAGCGACCTGAGATGTACATCATTGGCGCTCAGCCTCTCTGCAGTCAGCTCTCTGGCCTTTCGCAGGTAAATGTCCCCAGACCATGGGAATCTCCCCACTGGGACCACTCAAAGCGTCGAGCCATTAAGCAGCTAATCTCTGCTAATCTTTGTCGTTGTTTCTGTGTGGCCCTGCAGAGTCAGAGGAAGCTGTGCCAGCTGTACCAAGATCATATGAGCTTCATCGGGGATGGAGCGAGAACAGGAATCAAAGAGTGCCAGTACCAGTTCAGGCAGAGGAGGTGGAACTGCAGCACTGTGGACAACACATCTGTGTTTGGGCGGGTCATGCACATTGGTGAGTTCTCATGTTGTGTGAATGGGAAATTTCAAAGCAACAGACATGTTTGACTGGTGTTTTGAAGAAGTTAAATATAAATGCATTTGTTTCTTTTTAAAAAAAAGCCAAAACATAAATATATATTTTTAAATGCTTAATTTTTCTAGATATCTACTTCGGAGTACCAGAATTTTAAAGTTTCAAAACTGCACCATTTCCCCAATGTTGACACACATTGGGGAAGTGATGTAGTTTTGAAACTTTAAAATTCCCACAATGTATTCCTTTCAAAGAAGATTCAACAGAAAGTAATCTGAACAATTAACAAGCAGTATAACACATAGAGCTTGGCAGAGCTGCCCTTCTCACTTTTAAAGAATATAGCTTATATAATTTTCTTAAATAACCTTCTATAATGCCATGGAACTCCAATAGTGTTGCATGCAGTGAGAATCTTATGCCAACTTCATTCTTTCGATAGAAAGTTGAAGATATCTCAGGGAATGTGTGGGGAAAGGGCCACTTTATGAACAAGCTTGCAATAAATAAAATGAATATTGTTCATAAAGAATCCAGTCATTTCCAATATATTTGTCTTATTTATTAGTGTTGTTTTTTTATTTTTTTATTTAAATGCCATTCCAAAATCTATATTTAGATAAGTCTTTTTTGTGCATTATTTTGTGCACAAATTATTTTACTCAGGAAAATGGTCTTTAAAGGTGAACATTGAAATATTAACTTTTGGATTGTTTTGTATGCCATTGAAACCCTAGACTTCATCAAACCTAACAAGCATTTATTCCAAACTTCTTTTAATCCATCAAATTACAGCGAGTAGTTTTTGTTTGCCTGTTTTTTTTTTCTTTTTTTTTCTTTTATAAAAATGCCGATAGAAAATGTATAAAGAATACATAAAAATGTTATAGCAACAAAACTATTGAGGAAAGGCCACAAATGATAGGATTGAGCACAAATAGACCAAATGTTTACACCTTCCATCATACCAGAGCAATAAAAAAAATAATAATAAATAAATGTCTAGTAGGCCAACAAAGTTGAAATGTAACTTTCATTTCATCGTTTAACTTTGGCGCGAGCGCAGTAATCAGATGATCAGCGCAGCGCGCGCGTAAAGACGCGCGTAATGAAAGAGTTTCTTTAGTAATCAGTAAGTTTCAGTCCTGGATCCGCATCCAGCGCGTCTAAATTCCGAGGTGGCGATGACGGGATGGTCTAATCAACAAGTAGGTGTGAAATCCGCTGCAGGCGCTCAGTCAGTCAGAGCTGCGCCTCTCTCTCCCTCCGGATTGACGGTGGTCTGTCCTCCAGGTTTAGACGGAGGTGTGAGGGCAGCCCATTGTCCCGCGGCTCTTCTTTTGAAATGCGCTGATGAGCTAACATCGAGCCGGCAGATCCGGACCTGCTATTTGAAGTCGACTCTCCACAGTCCCATAAACCTGACGGGGGAAACTGTTTCTTTAAAAGTGCAGCGAATAATAAAAAAAGGCTCACACGCCTCGGTTTGTTTCATGCATACCTGGCTGTCTGGCTGGCTGGTGTTTATTCCAGTCTGCTGTGTTATAAAAGCGCACCGTGGGGCCATAGGTGATCTATAAAAATAGCTCACTACTGACCTGCTTTCAAGTAAACTGGTTAAATAATAATATTAGAATAGAAAATCCTTTTTTCCCCCACAATGGGGAAATTCTGTTGTTTACAGCAGCAAAAAGATTATAGAAAAAAATGTCACACAAATTTGGACCTAAGAAAAATGTTTAAGAATAAGATAATAGTGAAAAGTTGAAAGATAAACAATAAAATACTGCACTGTAAAGTGTTTTAACAATATAAAACTGTGCATCTGGACAATGAATAACCAATATCCGCTATGGACATTTTTACAGTCATTGATATTTGAAAATAGCAGCAGGATCAGAGATATGCAAAATGACAGCAGCATGTTATTTTAATTAACTAATGTAGAAACTGTGCAAAATCAGCATGAATGTAAAAACTTATTGAGGTTGTTGGGATCTGTGATGGTTATAAAGTCTTACAGCTGCTTCGAGGAAGGATCTGTGATGACGCTCCCTAAACACTAAATAGTTACATTAAAAGAGCAGTTAAAGTACTGCCAAATAGATGCTTATTATAGTAGAAGCATAAAGGCGCACCATGATAGGCGACATAAGTTTTGGGGCACCACAAGTACACATAGATCTTTGTTGTATTCCAAACATGTTTTCTGTTGCATAATTAATTGTCTAGTGTGGAGCCCCTCTTTTTTTCAGTGTAAAAATGAGACGATGAAATTACAAATTATAATTGCTTATAAATATGAAGTATAAATATTTCATTGTAAGTTTAATATTGTTACCTTTTACTCAAAGTTGGTTATAAGTAGTGTGTTGTCTGCCGTGACCTTTTTTAAAGACAGCAGAAGATTTTCTCATATCTTTCAGTCCTTATGCACCTTAAATAAAAAAAACGAAAACTACAAAAAAGGCAATAAGGATTCATGATATTTATATTCAAACTGTTTTTCATATATAAATAATTTTAAGATAAATTATAAATAAGTAAAGAATTATTTTTTGCGGGAATGCAATGGCATGAAGGCTGTAACTTTACGATAAAAGCTGGTGGGGACGCCCTAAGGGTGGTGGCTGATGGACCTACACCTAATCAATCCGAACGCTTTCAATAGGGTTTATATTTTGCAAAAATGAGCTCAAACATATGTATATTGAATGCTTCACTATTGTTGAGAACACAAGAGAACCACAATACATTTGTGGTATTTATAGTTATAAACAGATGCCAGCCTATCGTGCATTATTTTATAAAGGGCTCAAAAACATTAATGTATAAAAAATGACAAATACCAGCCGATACCAATGCCAACATCAATATATCCTGCATCCCTAGTATGGACACAGCTTCACTTCCATCAATCCACCCATGCATGGCTTCCCTTTAAGCTGCATCAGTGATTATCAGTGTATGACCGCATCAGTGATTATTCACAAGCAGCAAAATCAAATTTAGAAATTTGTCCCATGTGTCATTGACAGCCAAAGTCTATATATTGAACCTTATATTTCAAAAATTATTTATACACTGGTTTGTATTATTTGGGCTTTAATTCTTGTAGGTTTCTTATACTTTAATTTTCAGTCTGTGTCCTGTGAGTCTGGCTGTCTCTGGGTTGCAGCTATTTCTGAGTCTCGTTGAAATACAAAAGACAAAATTATATGTTGAATTTTATTATAGCGTTGCATATTTTTTCTTGTAAACTTGGAGATGTATTTTATTGTATGTCGCACATCCCAGAAAATCTGTTTCACCCTTAAATCTGCAGCTGTCCCTAATTGTGTCTCTGCTCTGCTAAAAAACAGATTTATGAACCTGTCTACCAATATAATGATGCCTGAGAAAATAATTTTCAGGATCTCTAGAAGCTCTGCAGTCTGATTCTCTGTTCAATAAGAAATCAACAGATATGTGTTAATTTTAATCTGTAACTCTGAGTATGTTCCTGAGAAGCCCAGCTTTTTTAACTCGTATAAATGTACATCTGCTGCCATTTTTAGCTGAAAAGGTCTGTATGTGTAACTAACGGATTTTTCGGTGTCATCTCAAATTTTTTTAACCAACCAGTCTCCTAACTTTTACTTAACATATATCGGAGTAGCTGTCAGTGAAAATTCACTGAGAGCTTTATGTTTAAACGGCTTGCCATACCCGGTTTCTCTTCTCATCCTCGTAGCTACTCTGTACGCAGAAAATTGCGACACCAAATAATATTATGGTCCCAAAGCGACAGATCTGATGAAGTTCACCGAGAGGTGGGAATTGAGAGCAGCGGGAGAGCGAGATGGAAACACGGACTGAAAACGCTCTGAATACAGACGGCTGCACCCAACCCCAGTTACTGTTGGCTAATGTAAATCAGCGGAAAGGGGGAAAAAGCAGAAATTATTGGTGGGGACATGCCCAAACCAGTCCTTCAGAAAGTTACGCCTGTGATTTGGATCTTTATTAAAAATCAAATATTAGTTGTCCTCAGAAGGTACCCTGTTACTGTAGGTAATGGAGTTTATCTGTAAAACTCTCAAATTTGATAGAAAATACAGCACAAATGGCTAACCAGCAGATGGATCAAAAAGAAAGCTGCTGAGCAGCTTATAGCAGAGTTAGAGGTTTAGAAAAATAACCCAAAATACTTATAAAAGGTATACAGTTTTACCTGACAACTTCTGCATATTTCTCCTAATCACGGATGATGAAAGGTGAAGGGTCACACATCACATCATTTTCAAGAAAGTGTAGTTATGTTATTACACCATGATGAAAAGTTGTGTTCATATACCAAGCATTCATCTTGATCAGGGACGTCCTTGTCCAAATCGCTTGATGTTTTCTCTTCATAACTGATTGTTCCTCCTCCTTTTCAGTCATCCGTCTTGTTGATAAATGGCTCATAGAGACATCAATCATTGATGTTGACGTCTAAACAAGTTCCAATGAAAAATTGCCATTTGTTAGCAAATGTTGAACTTAAACTCCCCAAGAAATAGTACTTATTATATTTTAATGACCTTTAGAATTATTATACCAGATAACCGTAGCATGATTTATAGTGTGGAGATGCCAACAATTTTTTTTTTCTGATTATGTGGCAATCGGCAGCCATCTTTTATTTCCTCCTCAGAATTATATTGTAGGTCAGTTAAGTTTCAGGCAGTTGTAAGTTTTACATTTATATTTGGATGTTGTGATGGTTGGAACAAATCTTGATGGTTGCCAACCTTCTCCTGGAGACATAGGTGACCTAATGGTGTCCAAGCTACTATCTGGATCTGCTGGTGATATGGTTCTGTTTAAGCCTTTGCTTAGTGTTGTAATAGCTGGGCTGCCATTAGGGTGTAAGATGGGCCTGTTTACTACAGACAGATTATCTTTTTTGACCCTAGTGGCATCTTCTTTAGCATCCAAAACAAAGAACTATGTGGATTGACAAGGAGATTTATTGCTGGATGTTTTCCCCTCAGCAAATACTGCATCTAGGCTTTCCCATAAGGTGAGTTTGGATGAAAAAGTGTTTTTACCCTTAATTTGAGTAGGTAAAAGAGATGATCTTCTATTGTTATGAGATTTTTTTACCCTTACAATAAGATATATAGATATTATCCATAATAGACATTGTGCATAATGAGAGAAATAAGAGACTCCAGTTTATTCTTATTTTAAATGTAAATTGTCTTGTTTCATTGGCAAAGTTTCTCACTTACCTGCTCAGTTAAAGAAAAATGCACTTAATTTACGAATAATTTACTCAGATTTCAATTTTTTTGCAGTGTCGTCCAGGGTTGAAATGTGTATCTCCTTTTTTCAGTAGCAGGAGAATCAAAGTGCTGTAAACATCTTTTTTATTTGGAAGTGCATCACAAAACTGCAATGCTTTAATGACATTTTCTTTTTTTTAGGATATAGGGTAATAGATCTTGATAGGTATGATTTCAGATGAAACATGTCTAATAACAGGTTAATGGTATACAAGGAAACTAAGGCTTTGAGCTACTGGAGCAGTCAGAACACACAAAAAAACTGTTTAAAAATCAGCAAACATTTTCCTTTTTCTTGAATTATGTATTGGTTACATTATTTTTTTATATCAAAGTATTAATGCTGAGAAGTACTGGCCCAAACTGGAGGAATCTGGAAAAAGATGTAAATTATGAGGCTTGGCAAGAAGCATAATGAATTATATCCATCTTCAGCAGCCATTTGGTCCCATATTGTCCAGTTTGCCTCAAACAATTGGACTTAAATGAAGATTTTTAGGTACAATTTCAACATTACAGATATTATTCAAAAATGCTTAGATCACACCAAGTTTTCTATCAAAAATAATCATTTGTTTATATGTTGGTGCTTTTTTACTTTTAGGACTTGTAAGGTCTCTGAATTATATTCTTCTCAGCATATTGAATAAAAGCACAGGAAAACAAATTAAAGTCTTTTAACTGGTGGACTTCAAATCAATTTACATATTCTCCTCCTAATCTGTTATTTTCTAGGTTTTCTATAACCAAACATCTACTGTTAATTTCAGGGTTACGAGTTTATCAGATGCATTTTTAAAAATGTTGTTTTTGTTGTGCTTTTCAAATTGAGATGAATAAAAGATGCATTAAATAACTGGAAATCACCTCTTGAATAAAATGATCAATATCCAGGCCTGACCAGGTAAACCAAGAAGACAGCTTAAAGAATTTCATTTTTATTTGTACATGTGCACATGTAGAACAAGTTTAATCTGCAGCAATATTAGAGCCTCATTTCCCAGCTATATTCTAGTGTTACCCTGTTGTAAGTGTGGACATATATGCCAGTCATTTTGCACTAGATGATTGAAGAGTATTTGATAAACGTGTTTTGTGAATGCGAATCCCACCCCTCAGCTTTTCCCACATAATCATATTTCCACATATATAGCATCCCCTCAGGATAATGCTGCCACCCCTGTGCCAAATAAATAAAAAATACTGAGCATGTACACTAAATGATAAAATGATTTAACATTAATTTCAATCTGAAAATCTTGTGTTTTTCTTCTCCATAAGGCTCAAGGGAGACAGCATTTACCTACGCCATCAGTGCCGCCGGTGTCGTCAACGCCATCAGCCGGGCATGCCGCGAGGGCGAGCTCTCCACCTGCGGCTGCAGCCGTGCCGCCCGGCCCCGAGAACTGCCACGTGACTGGCTGTGGGGAGGCTGCGGCGACAACGTGCATTACGGCTACAGGTTCGCCAGGGAATTTGTCGATGCCAAGGAACGGGAGAAGAATTACCCACGCGGGTCAAAAGAGAACGCACGAATCCTCATGAACCTGCACAACAACGAAGCTGGGAGGCTGGTATGACCAAACAATAAATACCCTCAGTTTTTGTTCTGCTGTAGGAGCTTCAATGGGGGGAAATGTGGTTTTCCTCTTTTTACCCACATACTATATCTGTATGTCTGTTAGGAATGTGTGTCAAAGTTGATGTGGCCTTCCCAAGCAGTGTTTCTGTGAGTGTGTGTGTGTAGGTTATTTATTGGGAGCCTGCAAATGGTACAACTGCTAACGCCCTTGGAGTTTAGCTGGGTCGCACAGGTCAAGGCACATTCCAGCCTTTTAACACACAGACGCACATGAATGCAGAGATAAACATGGACAGATGCAACAAAGTGGACGTAGACATTATTGAAATATGACAATGAAAGTCCATCTCATGCCATGTTTGCAAGAATCTACATATATTTAAATGAGAAAAAACACTTAACTCAGAAAAGGTTGGCTAGCCTGTTTGGGTGCAGGCTGCTTATCTCCAGCACAGCTTTGTTTAAGCTGTTTACAGGACAGAGATGCTGTTTGTGTATATGCATGAATGCTCTGTTTGATTTGTGTGAGAGACAGTGAGCCCAGGTTTGTGTGTGTCAGAGGTCAAAGGTGAGGGTCTGGAGAGCTTGTGTTTCTGCTGACGGCCCCGTTGGGGCAATAGAAGAAAGTATGAGGAGAAAGATATACTGCCACGGCTTTGTATTAACGCATCCTTTCATATGTGCACCGTCTTTTGAAATAACTTTTCCTCCCTTCTGCTGTTTGATCCTTCGCTCTCATTTTCGTTTGTCCACCGAAATGGAAGAGAAGAGATGAAAAGGTGGGGAGGAAGACTGTTTCTCTCCTCCTCCCAATCCCTCCTTTCTGTCTTTCTTCCAAAGACACGCTGGTTTGTCCTAAGTGGGATTTGTCTTGCTTGGCTGAACAAGGCGAACCACAGAGTTTTTGTGACGGACGCAGGGGTCTGCCACTGTGTGTGTGTGTATGTATATTCTTTTTATTTGTGTGCACAGTGAACAACGTGATCCTTAGTGTTTGCTGGGATGTGGAGACAGATGCAGAACAAAAAGTAAAACTTTGTCAAAAAATATTCACATAATCAAATGCACATGTTGCCAGTTTAATATTTATAACAGAGAAGGTGGACTCAAACTGATGCAGACAGATGTGTTGCTCCCAGCTGGGAATCCGTTCAGGTGAAATGGCGTTCCTGAATTGTAGAGGTTTGAGTGCGAATTCTGTTGGCAACTCTGTTCTGACAAGATTACACGTAAACAAATGGTCTCCTGCAGAGAACATGCAGATAAAAAACATGTGCGAAGAGCATAGCCACAACATCCAAGTATGCCTTCTGTAAATCATGCTAATTTCAGACTTTTATGAGACCAACCTCAAACTTTGTTTGATTTGCCAAGAAAAGTGCAACTCTGAGCTGGGAAGATGCACAACACATTCTAGTGTTTTTTAATCCATCCATCCATTTTCTATACTAGCTTAACCAAACTATAGAACATTTAAAGAAAACCAATGAGTAAGTTGCATGTATTTGATTTAAGAAAAAGTTGAGGTACTAGAGGAGAACAAGCAAAGTCTCATGGATAAGAGACTCTGCCAGTATGTAAATGTGGAACCTTTTTGACTAAAAGGTAAAACTGACAGTTGTTTCACCTTATAGGCCAACTTTACTGTATTTAAACTCAAAATAAGTTTTAACATACCTTTTTTTTTTTGGTTAGAATAGATTTTTAAAAAACAGTCAGAATTGTGCTCCTAGTCATTTCGATATATCAAGGTCTAAAATTGCCACTGCAGATTGCCGCTTACAGGTGCTGGTCATAAAATTAGAATATCATGAAAAAGTAGATTGATTTCAGTAATTCCATTTAAAAAGTGAAACTTGTATATTATATTCATACATTACATACAAACTCATATATTTCAGATGTTTATTTTGTTTAATTTTGATGATTACAAATGACAACAAATGAAAATCTCAAATTCATCATATCAGAAAATTAGAATATTACTGAAGACCAATAAAAACAAAGGATTTATAGAAATGTTGGCCAACTGAAAAGTATGAACATGAAAAGTATGAGCATGTACAGCACTCAGTATTTAGTTGGGCCTCCTTTGGCCTGTATTACTGCAGCAATGCGGCGTGGCATGGAGTCGATCAGTCTGTGGCACTGCTCAGGTGTTATGATAGCCCAGGTTGCTCTAATAGTGGCTTTTAGCTCTTCTGAATTGTTGGGTCTGGTGTATTGCATCTTCTTCTTCACAATACCCCATAGATTTTCTATGGGGTTAAGGTCAGGAGAGTTTGCTGGCCAATTAAGAACAGGGATACCATGGTCCTTCAACCAGGTACTGGTAGCTTTGGCACTGTGTGCAGGTGCCAAGTCCTGTTGGAAAATGAAATCTGCATCTCCAAAAAGTTGGTCAGCTGCAGGAAGCATGAAGTGCTCTAAAACTTCCTGGTATGTGGCTGCGTTGACCCTGGACCTCAGAAAACACAATGGACCAACACCAGCAGATGACATGGCACCCCAAACCATCACTGACTGTGGAAACTTTACACTGGACTTCAAGCAACGTGGATGAAGTGCCTCTCTTCTTTTCCTCCAGACTCTGGGACCTTGATTTCCAAAGGAAATGCAAAATTTACTTTCATCAGAGAACATGACTTTGGACCACTCACCAGCAGTCCAGTCCTGTTTCTCTTTAGCCCAGGCAAGACGCTTCTGACGCTGTCTGTGGTTCAAGAGTGGCTTGACACAAGGAATGCGACAGCAGAAACCCATGTCTTTCATACGTCTGTGTGTGGTGGTTCTTGAAGCACTCACTCCAGCTGCAGTCCACTCTTTGTGAATCTCCCCCACATTTTTGAAGGGGTTTTGTTTCACAATCCTCTCCAGGGTGCGGTTATCTCTCTTGCTTGTACACTTTTTTCGACCACATCTTTTCCTTCCCTTCGCCTCTCTATTAATGTGCTTGGACACTGAGCTCTGTGAACAGCCAGCCTCTTTAGCGATTACCTTTTGTGTCTTGCCCTCCTTGTGCAAGGTGTCGATGGTCGTCTTTTGGACAACTGTCAAGTCAGCAGTCTTCCCCATGATTGTGTAGCCTATAGAACTAGACTGAAAGACCATTTAAAGGCTTTTGCAGGTGGTTTGAGTTAATTAGCTGATTAGAGTGTGGCACCAGGGGCCATCAATTTTGAACCTTTTCACAATATTCTAATTTTCTGATATGATGAATTTGGGATTTTCATTTGTTGTCATTTGTAATCATCAAAATTAAACAAAAAAAACATCTGAAATATATGAGTTTGTATGTAATGTATGAATATAATATACAAGTTTCACTTTTTAGATGGAATTACTGAAATCAATCTACTTTTTCATGATATTCTAATTTTATGACCAGCACCTGTATATGCACAGCCACATTTAAAGATGCTTAAGATTTAATGCGTTTGGAGATATAGTGCCATGAAAACATATATGGTTTCACGCTGACACTGTCCACTGCCATAAATAAACCATACTGTGACACATGGTGGTGGTAGCATCATGCTGTGGAAAGCATTTTTTTAGCAGGGATAATGAAAGACTCGTTCCGAATAATAATACAATTAGACTGAAGGTAGAAAAATCTGGGATATTTTAATGTTTGTAAAACTCAGCATATATTTTTTTTTATATATCAACCACAGATTTAAAGTGTTTTTTAGAAATTTAGAAAAGCACTTGATCAAAACACACCAGATAAACATACATGCTGTATATATGTTTCTGTTAAAGGAATAGTACACCCAAAACATGATTAGCCTTCATTTTCCACTCACCCCCATGCTGAACAACACTCTGGAGTACTTTTTTGATATCTCAAATGCATCTGGAGATCTGGGAGGCTTCTTGCTGTCTGCTGACATTCAAATAATGGAGGTCTATGGTGACCGAGGCAGAAAGGTCCATAAAAGTCCACAAAAAACGTGTCAATATTCCTCCATACTGCTCGTCCAATGTATTCCAAGTATCCTGATTGGGTAGCATCCAGAATTTACTCGAAACGAAGTCATTTAGAATGTTTTTAGAGCATAAACAGTAGTGTATAGGATTTCCTGAAAGCGCGCATATACGCGCTCACAACGCTACGGAAGCCGGCAGACCAAACCAGCGCATTCAGCTCGGCAAAGAACTCATGCTCTTCCTCAACACTGAAGTCCTCAGATATTTTTCTTTCGTTGTTTCTTTCTTTGCACAGGTAAACAGCACATTTCTTCTTCTACGCTTGCATTATTGGAAGAGCAGACGCTGAATGCGCACTTTCATCTGGTTTGGTGTGCCGGCTTCCGTAGCGTCGTGAACGCGCATGTGCGCGCTTTCAGGAAATCCTATACACTACTGTTTATGCTCTAAAAACATTCTAAATTACTTCGTTTCGAGTAAATTCTGGATGCTACCCACTCAGGACACTTGGAATACATTGGACGAGCAGTATGGAGGAATATTGACACGTTTTTTGTGGACTTTTATGGACCTTTCTGTCTCGGGCGCTGGGCACCTCCATTATTTGAATGTCAGCAGACAACAAGAAGCCTCCCAGATCTCCAGATGCATTTGAGATATCAAAAAAGTACTCCAGAGTGTTGTTCAGCATGGGGGTGAGTAGAAAATGAAGGCTAATCATGTTTTGGGTGTACTATTCCTTTAAGGACTGTAGAAGTGTTGGAACAGCAGGAGTTTGTTTTTTATTTCCAACTAGGAGTTCAAACAAAACAGAGTGCATTTAATGTGACCTTTGCAAATGAACACACCTCCACAGTTTAGGGTTATATAATGAAGAACATCAGCTATTTACTACATTTGTGTGACTTGAGTGTTTTGTTCTATTCTAAAGGCTTTATTCCCAATTTGACAAGCATCATCCATGAGGGTTTCCATCACATATATCGTTCAGAGGGCTAAAGCCTGTCTAGATACGGTACAAGAGTCCAAAGTTCCTTTCCTACCCACAATAGTGTCCTT